ATGGGATTTTAGATGAAGCATTGAAGGTTAGTTGATAATGTATACGTAATTTTTTTTTAAATGGCGCTTCATATATATATTTTTTAATAGGAGGCTAAAAACTCGGGTATACAAAATATACTAGCTTTACGTGGCGGTAAGTATCAATTTTTAACCATTTATATAAATTCATTCAATGCTAAATTTGTCCTTTATAATTAGATCCACCACGCGGTCAAGACTGTTGGACACCAAGTGATGGAAATTTTGTACATGCAATTGATTTGGTAAAATGCATTAGAAAAAAGTATGATGATTGGTTTTGCATTGGAGTTGCAGGTAAAATAAATTTTTATAAATTGATTGAATTAATAATTGATTATTAAATTCTAGAATTACATTGTAATAGGTTATCCTGAGGGTCATCCTGATTCTGTTAATAAAGCTCAAGATTTACGATATCTTAAAGAAAAAGTTGATGCTGGTGCTGATTTTATAATTACACAATTATTTTATGATGTGAATTCATTTGTAGAATGGGAAAAAGAATGTCGTAAAATTGGTGATCATTATTTATGATATTTTGGGCCTTAAATGTAGAAAGACTTTGTTTGGTTTATTCAAATATAGTAAGTAAATTAATTAAGGATTTCCGAATTTCTCTGTTACGTTAAAAAATAATGTACTCAGAATTTATGATGTCTTGGTTGCTATCTTTCCATTTTTAAGGCCCCATTCATTTAAATTTCATGTTTAAGAGATACATATTAACTAGTGTTAATAATTGATAAAAATTAGGTATAACTGTACCTATTATTCCTGGTATTATGCCAATTCAGGGTTATAACAGCTTTCGAAGAGTTACAAATCTTTGTAAAATAAATATACCAACAAACATATTAAATGATTTGGAACAAATTAAGGTTAATTTATTATTCATATATCGGTACTTCTATTCAATATAATATTGATATTTTGACATCTTTTTATTTCTTTTTATTTCTTTTTATTTTAGCATGATGATCAAGCTGTAAAAGATTATGGTGTATCACTCGCAACATCTATGATTACTACATTACACGAAAAACACAATGTGAAGGGATTCCAATTTTGTACTTTGAATTTAGAAAAATCCGTACGGTTGATATTGGAAAAAAATGGGTCTTGTATCAACGGAAGAAGAAAGAAATTTAAGACGTTCTAGTAAACGAAGACTTAGTATTGTATTTGTCGCTAATGACATTATTAGACAGGTGCATGAAATACTCTTTTGCTAATAAAGTCTTGATGCATTAGTAACTCTTGTGCTAATTATTAGGAACCTGATGGTTCAGTACCGGCTGCAAAACCTATTATATGGAAAGAACAGAGTGAAGATTATTTGGGACGGTCAGACGATTGGGATAACTTTCCAAATGGTCGTTGGGGCAATTCAAAATCTCCTGGTGCTTATGATAATTTTATTTCATGAAGTATATCATTTTATTGTTTGTTATTGCTAATATATACATATATTATTATTTAAGCATTCGGAGAGTTAGATGTCTACGGCATGTCTTTGAGAATTTCGGTAAGAATGGAATTATTATATGACCAATTCTACTTTGACCCGGGTCAAAGTGACCCATCACATGACCATATACCTAAGAATTTTCAAAACTTTGAGCGAAAATATCTCGATAACTATCTAATCAAATTTTATAAAAATTTTTTTATTTAAATCCTATTTTATTCAAAGAGTTCGAATAAAAAAATTTTCATCGAATTTAGTCAGGTAGTTATCGAGATTTCTTCGCTCAAAGTTAAAGAAAAATCAAAACGCATATCAAAATAAAAGCTGCGCCAAATTTTTTCTTTAATTTTGAACGAAAATAACATGACACCCATCAAACCAAATTCGATAAAACCTTTTTTATTGAATTTTCTGAATTCATAGAATTCGAATAAAAAAATTTTCATCAAATTTAGCCAAGTGGTTGTCGAGGTATCTTTGCTTAAATTAGAGAAAATTTGGCATAGCTTCTATTTTGATAAGTATTTTGATTTTTCTATAAATTTGAGAGAAGATATCTCGAAAACCACCTGACTAAATTCTATGAAAATTTTTTTATTCAAATTATATGTACACATAAGATTCAAGTACAAAAGTTTTAACGAATTGGTTAGATGGTTGTCAAAATATCTTCGCGCAATTTTTTAAAAATAATTTGGTATATTTATAGACGTTTTGATTTTTTTTCTAACTTTGAGCAAAGATATCTCAACAACCAAACCACCTGACTTAATTCAATGGAAATTTTTTAATTGAATTCTATAAATCCATAAAATTCAAATAAAAAATGTTTTACCGAATTTGGTTTGATGGTTGTCAAGTTATCTTCGATTAAAGCTTTAAAAAGAATTTAGTGCTGCTTCTATTATGATAGGCGTTTTGATTTTTTCTAACTTTGAGCGAAGATATCATGGCGAACTCCTGACTAAATTCGATGAAATTTTTTTAATACAATTCAATGAATCCATATAATTCAAGCAAAAGAAGTTTTATCGAATTTGGTTAGATATCTTTGGCATATGGTCACATGAGGGTCACTTTAACCCGTGTCAAAATAGAATTGTCCAAAGAATTAAAGTAACAAACATTTTAGTTAAAGTGCTTGATATCATAATCAAGTAAGTAATGTAATAATAATAGAATAACAACATTTAAATTTAATTATCGTGCAAACTCTTATGATTATAGTTTTTTTCTTGTTATTTTTTGTACGTTATTACATAAGCACTACATCCTCGAATTAAAACTCAGTTAGCCAATAATGACTTGTAAATCATGATCATAATTTCGATATTGGATCATGTGATGATAAATATCATAAAATTTGTTCTGCTGGGACAAATTTATTGATATAAATCATTGCCAATACATAAACCATGCACCATAATGAGAGAAATTGAAGCCGTTGTAAATTGCCAATAAGTTCTAAAAGTTGTGTGGGAAATACACTAATCGAAATATAGAGATATGTAATGTTTGGGCAAAAAGACTTAAGTGTTTTAAGTGTTTCTAGTAATAAAGATTCATCCCGAATTTTTTCATCTACTGCCTCAAGTTTTAATCGTTGTAATAATGAACCGGACTTTTCTAAAATTTGTACTATAGTCGATGCATGAATCTGGAAATTAACAATTTCCAAAGTGCTGATTTTAAAATTTAACATTTTCAACAGTTCCAGCTCGTCGCAAAACCTCTACGAAGAATTTCTAAATTTTTACATATTTTCAATACTTCAAACTCTGCATTATAAGAACAACCCTCCAATACAACTTCTTGTAATGAGTTTTTTTTGACTTTCTAAAGCTAAAACGATACCGTTGAATTCTACAGGGTATTCCTCAACATATATGTTAAATTGCCTAAGTTACTCTTGTGATTTAATAATACGTATAAGAGTTTGAAATACGTGTGGATCACTAGAATAAAGTCCACCAACTTTCAAAATACTAACCTTCGTAATATTGTTTGCCAAGATTCTTAATAGTTTGGCTGCATTTTCGATGTTGAATTCTGATATTACTCTCAAAGTTAAATCTTGGAGTCTTGAAAAAATTTGCTCATTTCCTAATGAGTAAAATATCTCCGAATTATCATTATAATTAAAATATATGACCAATATATATCTAATTTGCGCAAACTGGCTCTACTCTTAACAAATAATTTAATATTATATTAATTTTTTTGTATCAATTTAATAATTAACTCTAATTGCAAATAATACGTAGTTAGCTCTATTATATAAAAATAACAGGCAATTAAATAGAATAATTTATATTAACTTTATTTGTATATTATTATAACAAAATTGTATTTGCTATTTTTATATTAAAAAAAAATCTTTACTAATTTTAATTTTTTTTTTTTAATTCTCTCAATTGAATAATTTTAATAAAAAAAGTATTATCTATAATTGGCAAAAAATTTTAGACAAAGTAAAAAAATTACATTTTTATTGGTTATATGCCCGAATTATTGGAAAACATTCTTTATAATCTAGAAGATGAATTTTATTCCTTATACTTGTGAGCCGACATTGGTGCAAAACGATAATTCTTATTCTTTGGCAAGATCCATTTTCATTCGATCTAAGACCTTCATTTATTTCTAAATATTTTTCATCTCTTAATGAAGACGAAAAAATTATTTTAAAAGAAGTTTTAAAAGGATATGGGATAAGTGTGGAATTTTCCAAAACACTATTTGAATATGCAAAATTTTTGAAGGTTCTCTACTTATATTATTTAGAAATTACTTCACGACAAAATAATGATATTTCATATAGTTAATTTACCATTCAAAATATTCATTGAAAGTGGTGCTACTTTGTGCAAATTAACTTTATATTTTTCATTATCTCAGCCAGAAATCTTTTACAAATTAGGACAAAGTTTGCCATTTTCTCACGAATCCAACAACTATCTTTGACAAAATATCACCATTTAAGCCTTTCTATCCAAACATTACATACCTCAAAATTAAGTACGTTAATTTTTCTACACAACTCCTAGAGCTTATTGGTAATTTCAATTTCTCTCGTTATATTGCTATGTTGACAACATACCAGAAGAAGTACTAAAATACGGGTTATACAGTTTTCAGAAATATTGCCATTATCATTGCAATATCTTGACTTTGAAGATAGTTGGCTAGAATCATATCTAGTTATTTTCCTTAATTATTGCAATGCACCTTTTAAATAACTGTTAATTAATCGCCTTGATAACGAGAAAAATGCTAAAGCTCTAATCGAATTCTGCATACGAAACAGAACTTTGAATTACGTGGGTTTATACAGCTATTCGGGCTTAGATGACAATATTAGAAAGGAGGTGGAAGCATATGTCGCATTGTTACGATATAAAGATATTTTTGTTGATTTTTAGCTATTGATAGATTTTAAAGTGCATTACATCATAGTTTATATCATTACGGTCTGATTGCTAAATATTATAATTTAGCATAATTTTACGTTGAGCTGTTCTCATAAATAAATCTACAAAATTTGATTAACTCTGTCGTTTCTATGACTTATCATTTTCTTAACAATAACTCCCTAATAATGCATTTTTCCTGAAAATTTTATTATACATTTTTTTTTATCTATATCATTCTCAACGTCTCAACGTCTCAATATTTTATTTTCAAATCGTGCAATCACCTAATTTTTTCAGATTCAGTTTGGTTGAATAAAATTTAAAACCTGCATATTATGAATTTACAAATAACAAATAGAATAAAAAATAACAAATAGAATAAAAAATAACAAATAGAATAAAAAATAACAAATAGAATAAAAAATAAAAAATATGAAGATTCAGAAAACTTAGATTGGATCACTCACAAATATTTAAATTTATAGTTTGAGGATTTATATATTACCAATGTTAAAACTGTGATAATATACAGAATCACAACAATTATTTTTGTGAGCCCTATAAATTCTGCATATTGTCATTGAAGTATAAGTAAAAATTATAGGATTATTTCAAAGAGCGATAATGTAGATCGTTTTTACTTTTTTATCTTAGCACTTATCTAATAAAATTCGATTTGCTTTTTTTTTTTATTTTAATAGAAGAAGAGCAGAATTCTGACATAAAAAAGTTCGTTAAATTTGATTACCCTATACTATCACCCTTTTTTTAAAATTTTAAACTCAAATATCTTGACAAATATCTAATCTATATATTCAGTTTTGGTTAACCTACTATCGTTTGATGTCCAATTAGTTACAAGTAATTGATCGTCAAATTTTTTTTTAATTGTGCCGAGCATTAATCGTATATTTGAAATTAAAATTTTAAAAAGGGGTTCTTACTCACGATAGTATAGGGTAGGTGTGTTCAGAGATAGATATCTTTAAAAATAATTCTTAACGCAGCTTTTATTTGATAAGCATTTAAAATTTTGCAGGAACTTTGATTAAAATATCAAACCAAAGCTCGATGAACTTTTTTTAAATTTTAATAAAAAAAAAGTTCATTGAATTTGGTTTGGTTTATATCGAAGTATCTTTGAGCTGAGCAAAATTTAAAACCAATTCTTAACATAGCTTCTATTTTTAAAGACCAGACTTTTACACCCCTACCTTCTATATTACATGTGATCACAATAGAATAGAACCATGTGATTTCGATATAAAAAAAATCTGAAGTATTATTAGTATATAAAACTTTATTTTTACTTTTTTCTATTATTATTTTATTTGAGAACAAATAACTATATTTTTTAAGTAGATTTATAGTAAATTTCACGTAGCAAAGCACGTGTAGATTATTAATACTTTATATGAATTTAAGGTTTTTTTTTAAAAAAAAAAAGTATTTGCATTTTTTTCTTTGTCAATTGTATATACAATCCTTGAATTTAAGGCACGAATTTGTAAAAAGTTTTGATTAGGCACACTTGCATTTCCAAAT